ATAGCTGGATTGAAAAGTCGAATAAATTGTAACAAAATAATTCACTTAACAATACTATTTATTAAGTGTTCAATTTATAACTTATCAGTCTTATGATGTGTATTGGAGAGAGCAGTCTTCTCAATTGGATAATAAATAATTTACCATTTGAGTTACACTTACCAGGCTACAAATATTGTGGGCCTGGCACAAACTTAATTAAAAGGCTTAGGACGTGGAGATAAAGGTATTAATAAATTAGACGAGTATTGCAAGGAGCACGATATCGCTTATCACAAGTCATCAAACTTAGAGGATCGTCACAAGGCAGATTTAACTTTGTTAAATATGGCGAAAGAACGAGCAGCTGCCTCGGATGCAAGTCCAGGTGAAAAACTCGCGGCACGTTTAGTACGCAACGCTATGTCAATGAAAATTAAAACTGGTTCTGGTCTAAAGAAATGTAGCAACAAGTGTTCTCAAAAAGATACAACTGAAAAGGATTAAAAAATAATTTAAAAGCGTTATTACCAAAACGAAAAAACAAATTAAAAAATTAAAACCAAAATGCAAAAAAGCAGCGATAGAATTAGCTATGGCTGCTGTCAAAGAATTAGCTGATAATTCATCCATTAAACTTCCTCGAGTCATTCCTATACCACGAACTGGTGGAGTGCTACCTTTAATTCCTATTTTTGCGGGATTATCTGCTGCTGGAGCTCTAGCAGGTGGTGCAGCTGGCATTGCTAAAACCATAAATGAATTCAAGATGGCTAAAAAAACTGTTAGCTGAGTCAAAGAGACATAATGAAAAAATGGAAGCTCTTTGCATCGGAAAAGGGCTACACCTTAAACCACATAAAGATGGGCTTGGAATATTCATATCAAAAGAAAAAAACTAAGATATCGGCTACCCAATCGAGCTTTAACTAACTTGGACATTTTAAAGATTGGAAATAGCATCCCATATTTTAGAGGTGTTTTTATGAGAGATGAGCTCCCTAAATACCCCTTCAAAAAAGAATGTGGTGTTATTAATTTAGATAGCTCTAAAAACTCTGGCTCTCATTGGGTAGCCTATGCAAAATACGACGATTATATTGAGTATTTTGATAGTTACGGAAATCTTAAGCCGCCAAAGGAATTCATAAAATATGCGGGTTCTAAAGTGAATTACAATTATGAAAATATACAACGTGACCATCCCTTTAATTGTGGACATCTTTGTTTACACTTCTTAAACAATTTTTGGTCAACGAAGCAATAAAATAAACGGGATCTTTCATAACAGTCCAGTATATAAGCATGTCTACTACGGTTACCATCTCTGGCAATAAATCAGAACTGGTCTCGTATTTTCAACCACCTCTTCATTTATCTGATCAATACGAGTGCGGTTTACTATACTTTTCAGTATTTAATTCAAGACCGGATATTCCAATTAAAACTAGAAATCTGTCTGTGATCAAAATTGAATGTGATCTTGTGTACGGTTCATACTGCAACGGATTACCAACACATTTTATTCATGAATTTGTATCAGATACTGCTCTAAGTCATGGTTATATAGAGATACCACAAAACGTTATTTACTTTCCAGTGAACAAAAATATAATTTCATCCATATCTGTTAAGATTGTTGATCAATTTGGTCACTGTATTAACTTCGAACAAGAATATATTCAGTTACGTCTGCACTTAAGAAAAACAAAATGATAGTATATTATAAAAACGCTCCAATAAAAATAAATCGGTTTATTTCTTCTGCGACCGCTAAGGTGCACAGACGTAATACAAAATTAAGAAACTGACTAAAGCAAATAAAGACTTTCTTAAAGCCCTGGGGTTTAAAGTATGAATATGCTACAGATTACTGAATTACCGCATTTCGACAGTTCGATTGAAAGTTATGAAATCCATTCATACAATCCCTACAATAACAGCTTTAGAGAAAACGATGAAATCAGAATCCCCATACATCAGCAAGACATATACGTGCTACCATCAGCCAGTTCAATTTACATCGAAGGACAGGCAAGGCTGTTCGGTAAAGATGGGAATCCGATCAAGAAAACTGTTACGTTCACTAATAACCCTGTTATGTCTTTGTTTCAAGACATCAGATACGAAATGAATGGTATCGAAATAGACCGCATTAAAAATTCGGGAATTACGTCAACAATAAAATCATACATTTCATTAAATGAAGCAGAAAATAAAGTTGCAGCCTTATGGGGTTGGAACTTAGCGGGATTCCAAAGTGATGGACATTTTAGTGCCGTGATACCATTGAATAAGGTTTTAGGGTTTGCAGAAGATTACAATAAAATTGTGATAAATTGTAAACACGAACTTATTTTGAGTAGAAGTAACTCTAACTTAAATAGTGTTATTCTGACTGATGATGTTGTTAATTTTCAAATAGATTATACAAAGAGTTCAGTGGAGAGTGCCACATATAAAAGTGTCAGATCGAGAACGACTAACACTTTTAAAACATTTAGAAAGAGATAAACCTATTCAGATGGCTTTTAGAAATTGGGATTTATATGAGTATCCCTTGCTACCTAAAACTACAAAGCATTCTTGGTCAGTAAAAACAGCTTCACAATTGGAAAAGCCTAGATATGTTATATTTTGCTTGCAAACTAATAGGAGAAATAATAGGACTAAAGACAGTTCACTATTCGATCATTGTGAAGTGACCAATGTAACACTCTTTTTGAATTCGCAATATTATCCCTACGAACCTTTAAGTTTAAAGTTTTCTGAGAACAAGTACAGTATATTATATGAAATGTATGTGAAATTTCGTCAGTCGTATTACAACAGTCCTGTAGACCCATTGCTAAATCTAACAGATTTTAAAGAAAAGGCCCCCCTTTTCATCTTAGATTGCTCAAGACAAAACGATAGTTTGAAAACCGGTCCAGTGGACGTGCGGTTAGAAGTTGAATGTTCCACACCAATACCAGATAAGACAACTGCGTATTGTTTGATTATAAACGATCGACTTGTGGAATACAAACCTCTCAGCAACATTGTGCGCAGGTTATCATGATTGCTGTTGTTGATATTCAGGGATTTAGAACAGAAGCAGATGAATTTATATTAAAAGAAATCGCTATACTGTGTAACAAAAAACTACAAGTGTTTTTAGTTAAGCCACCATTTCCATTTAAAAACTTAACGGAATCTGAAAAAAAGGTAGTTCTTTGGATTCAACGTAACAAAAAGATATACTGGAGTGAAGGATTTGTACTTATTCCAATTACCAGACTTTGGTTTCCGATATATTAAGAGATAAATGTGTTTATGTTAAAGGTTCGGAAAAAGTTTTATGGTTAAAGCATATTTTAGAAAATAGTAACAGTAATATATTTAATTTAGAAGATAAAGGTTGTCCTAGTTTAGTACATTTATATGATCAATATAAACATTCTGAAGATATGTATAATTGTATTTATCATAACTCTGTATGTGCTTTAAAAAATATATTGTGTTTAAATAAATGGTGCCATGATAATAAAATTTTTATGAAATAAATAAAAACTTGTTTCATTTTTTTACAATATGTTTACTATCTCTGCCAATCCTGTACAATCACGTTTATAAATTGCTTGCAGCATTAAAGCAATGTCATTCTATGTTTATAATTATTAGCATCAAGAACTAGTAACTAAATAAATAAAATATGTATCAAACTAATATAAACCTCGATATGATATGTATAATACATACAAAATACGTGAATTATCCTTTAATTATTACTGGGGGACGAATAATTCAAAGAAAAGATTAGTGATGGAAATGGCTGATGCTGGATTCTTTTATTACGGAATTAATCCATATGATAAAGCAGCATGTTTTTCATGTGGAGGTATTATAGAAGATTGGGAAATTTATGATGATCCTTGGATGCAGCATGCTATAAATTTTCCACAGTGTTTTTATTTAAACGCTGTGAAAGGAGGGGAATATGTCAGTCAGTGGCAAAACATCGTAAAGAATTGTGTTAGTGAGAAATCTTTCATGTTGCAATGAAAACCGTATATGGAAGCGCATCGAATGAATGATGTCATACAATACACGTATCATTAATGTAAACAAAGTGCTTGAAGTGTTTCACTATTTTGTTACATATTCGATGACACGTTTGGCTTAATGGTTAAGACCCTGGTCACAACTGAGTGCAATATAACATGTTCTTTAACCATCTAAACCAAGTGTCGTGGGTTCGATTCCCACACGAACAAGAGTTGATGTTTGTTCGGGTCTGGATTTTGTAATTATGTTTCTCGATACTGTTTATTTAAATAAAGATATCGTAATAATAAGACCAAATGTATTTCATTAAACACCTGCTAAATATTAAGCTCAAGAAAACAGGTCAGAATTTTGAATACACACCCAGATAACAGATCAGGTTAGAATTATGAAATACACACCCAGATAACAGATCAGATCAGGTTAGAATTATGAATACACACCCAGATAACAGATCAGATCAGGTTAGAATTATGAATACACACCCAGATAACAGATCAGATCAGGTTAGAATTATGAATACACACCCAGATAACAGATCAGATCAGGTTAGAATTATGAATACACACCCAGATAACAGAATAGACCAAGTCAGAATTTGTGCCAGTTTTTAAATGAATTAAAACAGTTGCTCTTAAAATCAAACCAGTCTGAATATTACAAACTGAATCATAAGTTTACGATTAGCCCCAACTGATTGATAGTCTAGTAGGTATATTTCATGTGTGGAATTGGGGTTCCTGGATTTTTTGATCCAGGAACCCCAATTCTACACTACTAGGATATTTGATGGTGATGTCTTATAGTTTCAAATTACAAGTTTGAAATCACTCAATAATGCTCAAATGCCCTACTCAGAGAAGGCCTCTGTGTGAGAAAAGGCCTTTGCTCAGCATTGGGCGCTTACAGAATGATGATTTTGATGATGTCTTTGTTATTAAAGTGTCTTCAATATATCAATTTACTGCTTCCAGGTTCTGCTAGCGATCAAGGAGGATGGTGTTAATGTGACGGCGTACACCGCGTGGACTCTCATGGATAACTTCGAGTGGATGAACGGATATGGGTATGTTTTCAATTAATTTATGCAATTCTGTATTTTGGGGGGTTTGTACTTCTGCGGTCGAAACAGCTGCCTCAAGAGCAAGGAGCAACTAAGCTCAACTAACTCGGTGTGGAAGAGCCAAGCTTCGGCACGAATGGGTAGGCTCGACCGGAGTGATACCACGGCCTCACAGAATACCGGCGTGAAACATCCACAGCGTTGTGTTTCGCCGTGTGAGTGAGGTTACCGGAGGCCCAATCCCTTCCCGATCCTTATATCCGCAACCCTTATCTCCAAAAGGCCGGCAACGCACTCCTTTGGTGTTGCGGGGGTCCATGGGCGGCGCCGATTGCTTACCACCAGGTAATCCGTCTCCTCGTTTGCAGACATACATATACCATAAAAAAACCACCGTAGTATATCAATACTAATATCATAAAACTCAAGAGTTTTTTTAACGTGCTAACGTCGTGGTGGTCTTGAGGAATTTTTCTAAGGGAGAAAATTAGCAAATGGCTTTTCACACCCTGGTTGGGGCAAGAGTGGGTGTCAAACTCTTACTGACTAATAACTATACTGTTCCTCCATCTGTAAGCCTAATCTCCGGGTGAGAAAGAGGGATGGCGATATAAAAGGTGTATAGCTCCATCCCTCTTGCTCGCCCGGAAGATTGACGCTTTAATACGTCATGGTAGGCCCTCAGATCCAAGTAAGGGCTGCTGTGTCCAGTTCCCATGCATGAGGGTAGTAAAATTATTACCATGTTTGATTGATGATAAATGCTAACTCCCTGTCTGTGGGAGAAGAGGCCTTTACTCAGCAGTGGGCACCGACAGGCTGAATGTGGAGAATCCCCAGAAGTACTGCTAATATCCTATGTTGTGTAGTCTTTATCAAATTGTAATTTGACTTCATATTCATTTATTGTTACAAGAATAAAAGATGTCATTCAAAATTTTGGTCGAGGAAGACCATAATAGACTATAAAAGACCTGTCTTCTTCTTTCTTTCTTTTTTTATTAAAATTTTTTTATTGTCCCACACAAGGATTTTCTTCTGTGTCGTGGGTGTGCTTTCAAATACACATGACACCCAGACCCGGAACAACAAACTGCGGAAAGAGTCGTTCCGTGCGGGAATCGAACCCACGACACGTTGCGAAGCAGCCAGTTGCCCACCTACCGCGCCAACCGTCCAGTCAAGTGTCTATCTTGGTGGATGAAACTGCTCGGATGTAGCTACCAAAATACAGGCAAAACTTTAACGATAAATATTGTTGTCTCTTTCCAGGGTAAAGTTCGGTCTATACGAAGTGGACTTCACAGATTCGGAGCGCAAGCGCACGCCGCGCGCGTCTGCGCATTACTACGCTAGCATTATTAGGACGCACTCTCTAGATGTACCTACGACGCAGAATGAAGTTTAATTAAGTATTTATGACATACATATTATTTATATTATTGTATATACCTAGTACATGTATAACAATTAAATGACAAGGATGCAAAGTTTCTTTTTTTTTGATAAATGATACCTTAGTTGTGGCCAATTTTCAAAATTTTTTTCTTTACTGAAAACGATTTTATCCTGTGTCGTGTGTGCGTTTACAAACACACAATTTCATATACACATGACAACCCGGAACAACAATTTGTGAATCACACAAAGAGTTGTTCCGTGCGCGAATCGAACCCTCGACACGTTGCACGGCAGCCAGTTGCCCAGCTGCCGCGCCAACATTGCAGTCATTCAGCATTAGAATGTATTTTTTATTATTTAAATAATAGGCAGGCATTTGGCCACTATCATGGCTGCTGGTTAGCGATGATGCGACCTACGAATGGAGCACGCTTACCCATAAGCAACCTATTCACTCGGGCCCTGAAGACACCCTTCGGGGAACATAGACTCCGGGAAAGAACTTCACGGCTTAGCGGTTCTAATAATTAGCTGTTGACTGGTGATGATGATGATGATGATAATTTAAGCTTTGTTTGGCGTTAAAAGAGGTAAGGGTCTAATTAAAATAAATGATATTGAATTTGACTTTGATGATAAACCCTGTAGGTTAGGACAAAAAAGTGTAGGTGCAAGAAATAAAATGCAAGAGAAATGTTCACACTAATTTTATTAATAGACAAAATGATAAAACAATAACAATTTGCAACGCAACGCATAAATATATCACAAAATATCCGCTAGCGAAGATTCACTTAATCACTTGCAATGCCGTGCTGATAACGCCTTAATTACGAACTTTTTGACGAACTCAATAATATACCGAAGTTCTTTTCTTATTGGAAGAGTGAGATTTATTTCATCGACATTTTTTTTTTAATTTATTTATCATTTTTACAAATATTACAGGATTATTTATGTTTTTATAATAACTATCGTGAGACATACTAAATTAACTAAATTTCGCGGGTTACTCACGTGTAAATGTTGAGAAAAGCTCTACTAGTTTCGAACCACAGAGGGGTTCTTCCTCATGAGCAGCGTGCGCGGACGCGGCGACGACGCGCAGCCTACTCGAACTGGTTCGAAACTAGTAGAGCTTTTCTCAACATTTACACGTGAGTAACCCGCGAATTTTAGTTAATTTAGGATTATTTATGTTAAATAACAACCAAAAAACCACTAAGGTTTAAACTTGTGCTATCATGAATCATCTCAAATCGAAAAAAAAAATGATTTATGTTGATAAAAAGTAGCCTATGTCCCATTCCGGAGTATATCCATATGCTTAGGAGTGATTGAGTAACAAACATCCAAATTCGTAACTTTCGTATTTATAATATTCATGAGTAAGGTATTAGCCAGTTAAATTATATGTTTTTAATTTCACACTAATAATTTTGGGAGTGGGAGTTTCTTGCCCGTTCTTCTCCATCGGAATCTACACTTTGGAACGAGCAAATAGGTTCACAAAGAGGACTGACCGACACACTGACACTATATCTTAAAAATTTTGTTTGAAGTTCAAAAGTGCCTGTAAGGGTCTAATTGGAATAAATGATTTTTGACTTTTGACTTTTTGGGAGAGCCAAGCCTCGACGCGAATAGTCTGGCTGGACCAGAGAATACTGTCACAGAAAACAGGCGTGAAACCTTACCTACCCTCTCCCAACCCTCATCACTTAACCCTCACAAGGGCGGTTACAATATCACTGGTGTCGGGCATTGCTTACTTTCACCTGCAAATTTGCCGGCCTGTCCTAATAAAGACCTAATTTGTTATTAATGAGCAGACTGCATGTCCCAGTTAACTCACCTAAGCCGTCAGATACTAATTTTATATAAAAAAGAACTTGGTACCTACTTAATCGTAAGTTTTTTTTACCTTGGCTAATCTTGGGTACCTTATTAAGTTCGTGAGTATTAAAAAAGGGATATTATTGAGTTCTTCAAAAGTGCATGCCTAATAGTGTCTTAGCGCTAATAAAATGGAGTGCCCGTTTATATACGTATGTACCTAATTATATACTTTAATAATCATCACAACATTTATTATTATTTACTCATTATTACACTATATATACTATTTCAAAATATATTTTATTTAACACATAACAAAATAATATTCGATTCGAACATGTCAAAAAATAATTTAAAATAGTATTTTTTGTCTTTTTCTTGTTATTAAAATTATATATTAAGAACATACAATATTGGTTTTACCAAACAAACTTAAAAATAAATGAGCGCTGAAAAGTCTGGAGATCTGTTTAAAATTGTCTTATTAATTTTCAGATTTTTCAATAGTCAGATAAATGTTATCTGAGGAATAAAACTGTTGCTGTCACTGTCTTATACAAACATTCTGACGCGACAGCAACATAATTATTCCCCAGATAACTTTTATCTAACCATTGAAAATCAGCCATTACTCAGAGAAAAATATTTTAAAACTATATTTGAAAGTTTTATAACCATTGAGTATTAGAATATTATAAAATTATTTTTTAATAATAAAAATCACAATACAATAGTAAATGATATTATTAGTAAAAAGGTGTAAATAGGTCACAAGCGCTCAGCAAATGATACACGTTTTGTCTCTTTTTCACTGATGATGCAATCCCGCTTTAACGTCTAATCATATAAGTTAATCATGTGTGCCTTAGTGATCCGTTTTTGAAAATACTATCTATCTAAACCTTTTTACTTATAGTAGCATTGACAATAGACAATAGCATCTAACAATAATCTCAATATTGAGTAACAAGCGACCACAAAAAGCAATCTTATTGCTTAACAAATAAGGCATGATTTTTAGTATCATGGTGTGTGTATTTAAAATTTTCCTTTATAACCTTTTGTCTATTGGAGAGACACAATAGGAAATACAAAGTGTCTTCAAGGCCTACCATGAAGTTTTAAAGCGTCAATATTTCAGGCGAGAAAGAGGGATGGAGCTATACAACTTTCATATCTCCATCCCTCTTTCTCACCCGAAAGATTGTCTCGTTAACATGTCATGGTAAGCCATCTAAAAAAAAAACTGTTTATAATAATGTCAAAATATACAATTAAAAACCCTATATACATATAGAAAAAAGTGTTATAAATAATTCAAATTTTTTGCTTTTTCTTCTGGTTCATATTATAATAGTAATTAGTTGACGGTAATTATGTGTCAGATCTTAATATCGTGTTTAACAAAACGATTGTGACATAATGGTACAATAATATATTTTGTAATTGCTCTTTAACATTGTTGGAAGATTTATAAGACAAATCGTTGCGTTGTTCGTATTGCAATGAGTTTTATTTTAAAAATCAAACGATTACAGGTGATTTAAAATGGCGTACCTGAGAGTCTTTCTTCTTCTCCAAATGGTGCTTTGACAAAACTTAATTGTTTCTAATTGCATCCTTTTTTTCAATACTTACATACAGGTTGTTTTGGTAAGATAAAATTTAAAGCAATAAATTTATTTATCCATTGATTTTATCTGATGTCGAATCATACAAAATTGATAAAAAATTGAAACAGAAAGATACAAGTCGAATGACACGCAACGTATCAAAATATTGCGCAATTTTCTCATTAATAATAACAATATCTGTGTCCCTACCATGGACTTTAAAGTGCCACTAAAAGTGTAATTACCCAGTGAATTTTTATGTGCTGCCACTTTAAAGTACCAAAGTGGTACTTCGTTCAACTAATCTACATTGCCGACAAAAACTATTCGCGAAGGCACTGTCATAAGTGTTTTACAAAATACTGAAAAATAATATTAGTTACTTATTTTATATTATCAACATTGTACTTTAAAAATACTGGTGTTTTCATTTATTATGAATTTTAATGTGAAGTATAAAGTTGGATTTCTAATAAGAAGTTGATTTATAAATATTTTATTCTATATACAGAAGAATCTACACAATTTTCTGAAATCAACGGATCGTTTTGGTATCTAATATATTACAGAATGAAATTGACAATTCAAGGACTGATTTTAGCCTTTAAGATACAATAAAAATTTTGGTTTTATTTTATGCAATAGATAAAAATATATTCGTAATATAGGAATCGTGTTTGGTGTTTCAATTAATGTGATATGATAACCTACAATACTATATATTTATTATGCCTCATACGCTAAAGTTATAATAATTAAGCGTCAGAACTAAGCTATCTAGCTTTTTGTAATTAATTCTTATTCATAAATCGATTATATTGCCTTAAATCTATAAGCGCAGGTTTGCGCAATTTAGCGCAACATTAGCGCAAAAAACTAGACTTGGAGGCGCTAAATAAAAAATCTCTTATAATATAGAATTTAATTGTTAATTTCTGTGTTTGTTTGTTTAAAAATACTTTCAACGATTTTATATAAGTATACGTTATTTTTCAATAATATGTTATAATTATTATAATATTTGTGTGTATGGAAGTTTTGTGACAAAATACTTGAGTATTTTGTTTAATGATATGTGCTTTTGCAAATAAAGGACGTTTGATTTCGTTTTAAGATAAAAGTGACACTGAAAATCATTTTGGTAATATTTTTAATTACATATTAATATTATCTTTGCTGTTTCGTAGTTGAATTTCGAAGTTGTACGAGTTAGAATTGACGTGGTACAAAAATCGTGTAAAATGATTAGCAAAAGTCATTTAACTATTTTGTGATAAACCTCTTTTCTGCCAGTATATAAGACATTACAGAAAACACACTGTGTCTCGCGTAGATCTGCGCTTCAGCATATCACGGGTTAAGTATCAATTCGGTCGGCAAAAAAATTGTACTAGCAGAGTTTTCATTACTAATAAAATAGATTCAAAAATCGTTAATGAATGCTTTAAAAAGTACTTTAAGCTACCATACACTCTAAATAATGCCACTTTTATCCTTTTAATGACAAGCTATGTAAAATTCGACGTTTTTCACTATTCGCTATACTCTAAAACTAGCAATAATCGGACTCTGGGCTTTTAATCCCAATGGGGGGACAGCCCATAGAATGGATGACGAGAAATATTCACAACATTAAGATTTAAAAATATGTGACGGAAGACTAGGCCTATTGAGAATGGAGATATACGTGAGACCATCTTTTAAGTGCTTCGGAGATTGGATCGCGTAAACGTTTTCAAGTCGAATTATTAAATCATGTTTTCCAACTAAGAAAAGAGGTTCATATATAGAGATGGCATTTTTTTGCCAATATTTTGTCTGAGCCCTTGGCATTTGACGTCCAACATGTTACCTTTTTTGTTTGTCCACACTACACATCAGAGAAATCTTTTATTTATCCAAAATGTCAAAAACTCTTTTGTGAAATCGTAGGTTATGAGGTCATAATAACTTTGTGTAAGAGAGCCAGGCTTCGCCAAGAATGAATTATACCACGGCCTCAAGAAAAACCGACGTAAACCAACCACAGCGACGTGTTTGGCTGTGGGATTGAGGTTACTAGAGGCCCAATGACCCTCCAAATAATTCGGTCGATCCGACCCATACGTGTCGAAGCATGGCTCTCCCACACTTGAAGATAAGGTCAAGTATGTCTCCAGTCCTTTATAATGAAAGCCTAAAAGCGTTTTAATGCTAGTTATTACGAAATAAGAATAATACCACTATAGTACTATAATTTACCCCAACTTAGGATTTATTTTTCTCTTCGTTTAAGAAGAAAATAATGTTTTCTGTCTCTTTCTTTTATGGCCATGACAACGAAGGAATTAGTACTATAGTGGCCCACATATAATAGATTGAATACTATGCATGAGGTAGATATCTATTCCGACCTAACTTGATCTTCGATATAATTGAACGTAAAATAGACGGAATTTTACTGTTCTTAGATGGCGCTGCCGTAGAATTAAAGCGAATAACTCTTTAAGTCTAAAACTTCGAAATCGAAATTAATATAATACTTATTATCACAATGAGAGGTAATAGAAATGATCGAGAAGTCTGTCTTTAGTTAGTATGCTTGTCTCTTTCTTACTAATATAGATATCGTTAAAGCATGAAAGAGATAGATATATAAAAAAACTTTACACAGATTTTATACTTAATGAATATGAATATAGCTATTCATAACAATGTATATAAAATAACAGCAGCGCCACCTAATACTGTAACTACGCGACTAATAATAATAAATTATGCGATTCAAAAATTCGTTTTTAAAGAACTCGATTTAAAAACATTTGAGACGACTATATCCGTTTTCGATCCTAGGATCTGATTGCCTTGACCATACCTCTCTCGGATTGAAGCTCGATATTATAGTTAACATTCTACCAAACCAATGATCGGTTGAAGTGAAAAAAGTAAGTCAATATAGTTTGTTTGAATGCTTGTCCAATGGCAAACTAATTTCTTTTGAATAATCTTAAATAAAGTAGTTATTTTAAAGTCCTTTTATAGATTTATGAGCTGAAACAATTTATTTTTGACAAAAGAATTAACTTTTTATGGTAGGTAAATGGGCACACGGATTACTTGATAGAAAGCAATCGGCGCCGTGCCTGTACACTTGTAATATCAAAGGAGTTACTACAAGTGCGTTGCCGGCCTCTTGTAGGCTGTAGGAAATTTACAGATAGGGGATTTGAGAATAGAGGATGGGGAGGGGGAGGGGGGAAAGATTGGACTTCAGGAAACCTCACTCACAAGACAAGTATTGCTTCACGCCAATTTTCTGGCGAGGCCATGGTATCACTTCGGTCGAGCCGACCCATTTGTGATAAAAAATTTAAATACGTGATTCACTTCAACCAATCCTCAAAATTGAATTCACCAACTACGACTATTTGACTAATCAAACATTCTCTACATTACTCATACGATAATTATTCAATTAATCATCCCTGTCGCCTTCTACATCGATGTAATATCCAGTTAATTCAAATAAATTAAATTAACGTATGCCAATGTTGTCACTGTAAAGTTTACTTTACGCTTGCAAGTAACATACATACTTTTTAATTTTACTTCGTTGGCTCAGAGCCTTATACGAGATTTCGCCAACTTTGATAATTTTTGCCAATAACAAGCTCAAAGCTTCGACAAATCATTTAAACTTTACAGTGACAAGATTATCTTTCGAATAATAACAATAATACAAAAAAATATGCAACAATTTTTATGTCAAAATAATTATTCCTTCACTACTTTCAGTAGACACTAAAGTCGAAAATTTGACAAACTGGTACTTTCTAGTACCACACAAAAGTCACTTTAAAAATAAATTAATTTAACACAACAAACATTGGTACCGTTGTACAACCGAAATATCTCTAAAAAAAGTCTTTGGTACTTGGAAATGGTATCCTGTAACTGTGGTACCAATCGGCGTAGTATCAAGTGGTACTTGCAGTCGCTACTTCTGAAAGTGCCGGTACCAAATGAAGCAGCCGTACAGGGAAGGTAGATCTTAGGGTGAGCCTTCATCATCCACCTCACGGATGACTGTGTCTGATTCCCAGCGAGTACGCTCCGCGATCAAAGCTTGAAGTTCCTGTAGAAAGGGAAATATTGTCATTGTTTGTTATTATATATTGTATGTGCTTGTTATTGTTGATAATGTCTTGACTACTAAAAAAGAAATACTTTATTACTATTTAAAAAAAACGTTGCCCCACATTAGGATTTTCTCCTGTATCGCGGGTCGCGTTTACAAACATACAAATCACACAAAGAGTTCTTCCGTGCAGTCAATAGCAAATTATTAGTTGATTTTTATTGTTGTTTTTATGTTGATTATTAGATTGCACTGTTGGCACGGTGGCTGGGCAATTGGCTGCCGTGCGACGTGTCGTGGATTCCCGCACGGAACAACTCTTCGTGTGATACACAAATTGTTGTTCCGGGTCTGGGTGTGATGTGTATGTTCACATACAGTCTTATAATAACGTTTGTAAACGCTACCACGACAAAGAAGAAAATTCTAATGAAAATACAAAATGGATTGATATAAAGGTTATGCCCATTTTGTTATGTGTAATGCCCATTTTTTCCTTTTATGAATCCCATGTTATAATCGATAAACTTATGTCCATAGAAGAAGGTTGGTTCATGCTTATTGTGACTCTGTATTTAGTTTTTTATTACAGATTAATGTTGTATGGTTGCATTCAATGACGTGATGATATATCATTTATTTGGGTCGACTGTCGTTAACTTTCGGACTGTCTGACAAATATTTTTGGTCCGTATTTGTTCCTAATTAAGAAAATATATTAACGTATGTGATAGAAATATCATCATCATCATCCTGCCCTTGTCCCGTTTTATTTTGGGGTCGGCGCAATATGAATTTTTCTTCCATTCTGTCCTGTCACCCGTCACGCTATCACTACTCTATCTTCCATATCACTTCTCGCACAATCCATCCATATTTTTTGATCTCTCTCTCCCTCTCCATCCATCCATACTTATACTAATGGCTTTTTGATATGATGTCATAGAAATATATGATTAAGAAATAGATAGAAATGACAACAATTATAATATGTAGTATTAAGTGATGTATATAAGTTGCTATATGACTGTGTACATTTAGCAAGAAATAAATACTGCTTTATTAGTCTGATTGAAATCTTGTGTATAAAAATGAATAGCTGTTTGTTAGTCTCGCTGATACTCGAGAACGGCTGGTATGTTTTGGATAATTTTAAAATATACGTTAAGGCCAGGGAAGGTTTGTAAGGTCAGAACATTGGTTATATTTGAGGTGGTAAGAAGTTTGCTTGATTAGCTAGTAAAAGATAAAACAAAAAATAAAAATAGGAACTGTCCTGTAATTTGGACAACAGGCAATATATACATATCTGTTTAACAATTATATTGAAGATTTAATATATCTACTATTGTAAAAATTGAATAGCAAAATGTATTTGTAAGAGCATAACTCAATAACGACTGAACCCATTTTGCCATTTTTTTTCGCGTCCATTATTGTCAGGAGTAAGTTTTTATGAATGGAATTTAGAAAAGTAGGGAGGAAAATTGTGGCATATAGACATTTTTTAACGTTAGCGAGGTGGTTGGACATGCGGATCAGAGATGGTCTACTGGTTGGAAACAAATCCATATGTATGTATATATCCTACTTCCTACTTATATAATAAATGCGAAATTTTGTGAGAATGTATCGATGTATGTTTGTTATATGGAAATTGTTGTTGTACGAAAATTGGGTAGTTTCCCAGGTCAAAAATAAATCAATTCGACGTTTCAATATTGAAAAATAACTATACTTTTATTCATCGATCAATCGATACACTAAGTTTTAGATATTTTTTAGCTAATTATTAAGAAATAAGTAAGCTATTTGACGCAAAAATGCCATGACATCATAACTCAGTTTTTCATACAAATTTCATAGAAAAGTTTCCTTTTTGACGTTTGGATAAAAGTATTGAATTTGACTAGTTGGAAACTACCGTATTGTTATGTAGATAGATGATGACCTAGATCAACATACTCCATATGGCTCCTGTGAACTCATGAGTGAAAGTGTGGGTGAAACTTAACAAGTACCAATGTGACTTTTTCCGAGTTATATGTACTTTCTATGATTTTTTAGACACCACTGACATACGGTGAAGGAAAACATCGTGAGGAAACCTGGACTTATAATTTCTGAAGATGAAGAAGATCTTTTCTTTAGATGAAAATCGCCAATAAACCTTGAGCAAGCATGGTGATTAATGCTCAAACCTTTTCCGTATGAAAAGAGAGAAGAAGCCTTTGCTCAGCAGTGGGCACTTATAGGCTGATGATGATGATGATGTATGAAGTATGGGATATACGATGACAAACTAAGATAGATTAATGATTTTTGAAGAATTCTTTTGCCCAGTAACCATTTTCCAAAATATTGGTAAGGGGGTACTGACAAAATAGTCTTTTTAATTGGTTACACAAGCTTTGTTTGTTAACCATCATTGGGGGTTAGTATTTAGTCAGATTTCTCGTTCGTTATCACTTCAGGACCCTCACTATCCTATTTGGTGAATAAAAAAAAAGAAAAATAAAATTTAGAAAAAAATAAACATAACAAAACTCAAATGGTACGAGAATGGAATGGCTGAAAATATAACTACATTTAAATATTAATTAAAGAAACTAGTAAAGCTTTTCTTAGTTAAATCACATGATTAAGACGTTATTTCTATTGAAAAGTACATTACATATTGGCTTTTCATAGTCAAAATTAGGAATATTTAGTTAACCAAAATGAAAACGCCAGCTATAAGTGTCTAAGCAAATGATTCTCTTATGAGTGAGGTTACTTCTTCCCCTCTTCCTTGGGCTTTAAATCCCTAACAATCCCCCCCCCCCCCCAAAAGGATAGCAACACAGTTGCAACTCCATTGGTGTTGCCAATGTTAATAAACGGCGCTGATTGCTTGTCACCAGGTAATAAGTCTGCCGTTCTATTTCCGTTCAACTAAAAAATTCTCACAAAAATAAAACACGGATTTTTGCTAAAGTAAATGCAAAATATGGTGTATTACTGACCTCAGGTTTATTGAGAATGATGATCCTGTTCTCCAATTTGGGGGCTAGCTCACAGGATTGTTGCTCTAAGTCGTCCAGGGAGGCTCGTCGCGTTAACCTGGGATTAAGTTTATTTTTAAAACTATAGCAAAATTACTGTGCAAAGCACTAACGAGGTCGCACGAGGCCCCCTCGCTGTTAACAGCTGATCGGGCGATGCACGGCGGGCGCGCGAAGTTTGTTACAAGTATTATTAAAAATAAAACTAATGACTATAGAAAAATATTCGCTTTGGGATAGTTATTTGTTTTTTATGTAATAGATCGGCAAACGAGCAGACGGATTACTTGATGGAAAGTAATCAGCGCCGCTTATGGACACCCGCAACGGAGGAGTTACGAGTGCGTCGCCGACCTTTTAGGTATTAGGGATTTGGAGATTTAGCGATTGGGGAGTGGAAGGATTGGGCCTCCGGTAACCTCACTCACACGGCGAAACACAACGCTGTGGTTGTTTCACGATGGTTTTCTGTGAGGCCGTGGTATCACTCCGGTCGAGCCGACCCATCCGTGCCGAAGCATGGCTCTCCCACACTTGTTATCATGATTACAATCACATGTTAAAATATCAGACACTTTTTTCCAGTCTCCTTATATAAAACAACGTTCGTATAAGGATAAGCCAGTAGACTGAGAGAAAATTAAGATGATTTTTCAATATTACTGGATAATTGCATTAAAATATTCCAATAATTTATATTTAATTGAAGAAGGGACTTTTATGTTTCTTAAAAAATCCGTATTTTTTGATCGAATTTTTTTTACTATGGAACATAATGGTTTGGGTGCGACGTTTATGTGAAATTGTATGTTTGTAAACACACCCACGACATAGGAGAAAACCCTAGTGTATGAACCGTATGAGGTTTAAAAACATACCTGTGATGTCCAGAATGTGAGACGGGCTCTACGGCGGCGGAGGAGGCGCGGCGCAGTGGCGGGGGACCGTCCAGCTCACTGCCATCCAACATCTTCACCAGGCTGTGTCTGTGAGTATTGGAGTTGCTTTGACAGGTTCTTGTGTTAAAAACAAGTAAATAATAACTTAATAATATTAGATTCAAAGGCGACCAATTTGTTTATGACGTTCGGCGTTCTGATTGGCCTGCTTCAAATTGGCCTACCAATCTGTGAGTGAATAGCAAGAAAGAGAAATATAGAGAGAAATGAGAGAGAGAGAAAGAGATAGAGAGAGATATTATTTTGTCGGTAGAATGAGTTTCTTTGCTTTTTTTCTTTTATTAACACACCATTGACATACGGCGAAGGACATCATGAAGAAACCTGGGCTTAAAAAATTCAATATGATTTTTATATTTCTTTAGGCTCTATACTTTACTTTTTCAGGCTCATTGCCATCCAGCATCTTTACTGGCTGTGTCTGTGAGTATTGGAGTTGCTTTGACAGGTTCTTGTGTTAAAAATAAGTAAAGAATAAATTGATAAAAGTTGGCTTTAAGTTATGGCGACCGATATGTTTATGACGTTCGGCGTTCTGATTGGCCAGCTTCAAATTAGCCTACCAATCAGCCCATGTTTGAGTGAAGGTTGAGGGAGCGTGAGAGAGAGAGCGTGAGAGAGAGAGACAGAGCGATAGAGAGGGGGACGGGGGCGGCGAGGTGGTGTGTGTGTGTGAGAGAGAGAGACAGGCGGTGTGTGAGAGAGAGAAGAAATAAGGGAAAGGGGGAGACTTATTGGTGCCCACCATGGATCAAAGAAGACGCAAGTGTGTTGTCAGCGTTTTGATAGTTTTGGGGGGATTCCGGATTTGAAGATGAGGGGATGTGGGGGGTAGGGATGGGGGAGGATTGGGCTTCTGGTACCCTCACTTACATAGCGAGACACAACGCTAGGGTTGTTTCAGTCGCGTATATACGATAGTAAAAAAAACAAGTTCCTGTAACCCTATACAAACACTAGTAACTTTTAGAAAACGTTTAATGATAATCAGCTAATGTTCTAATGTATCAACCCACACTCAATCAACAAACAAAACAAAATCAACTTTATCAAATTGTTATAAGATCCAAAATCGCATAAACGTCTATGTAATTATCTACTTATTTTTTTTGTGATGGTCCGTAAACGAGCAGACGAATTACCTGATGGTAAACAATCAGCGTCGCCAGTTGACACTCGCAACAATAGAGGAGTTACGAGTGCGTCGCCGACCTTTTTGTGATTTGAGATTTGCAGGGGTTTTTAGGGGGTAGGGAGGGATTGGGCCTCCGGAAAACTCACACGGCGAAACACTACGCAGGTAGAAACACGGCTCTCCCACACTTAAACACACCTACACATATTTAATTTGATATGTCACAGTACCTCCGGCTAAGCGTAACGAGCGACTGGCGATGTTTGCTGGGCCGGGAGCGCCCCGTGCGTACATTGATAGCTGCGAAGTGATTCTGTATAGCCATGCCTATCTCCGGGCACATGTCTTCGGGGATCTAGAACAAAGTAATACATTTATAGTAAGGTTTTTTTATTTATTTTGAGAGGGTGAGGTCATCAAATGACTTCTCCCGCCCAGGGTGAGCCGAGGGGGAGAGTTAGACTCTTACTGACTAAATACCCCCCCCGTTCCTTCTCCTACTCTGGGCCGAGGCCGCGGTGACTCATTGCGCTTGCAATGAGTCTGAATCTTGGCATGGAGCAGGAGAAAGAACGAGGTGGTTTTTAGTCAGTAAGAGTCTGACACTCCTTCACGGCTCACCCAGATCTCGAGAAATCTTTTAATGTTTTTTATATGTGATAGGTCGGTAAACGATGACGGATAACTTGGTGGTAAGCTAATCGGCGCCGCCGACAACCGCAATACAAAAGGAGTTATGAGTCCGTTGCCGGTTTTTTGGGAATTAGGGTTTCGGAAAATTATTGACATCGGACTTCCGATTATGGTTGTTTTACGCCAATTTTCTGAGAACAGTGGTATCATTCCGGTCGAGCCGACGCTTTCCTACCAAAGCTGTCCTACAGTTAAAGTCATTCAAAAAATTTTAATCAAAGATTTCTCTTACTAACCAGAATTTTACATTTGGGCAGCATAGTGAACCCATCGTTGCCACTATACAAGTATTGTTTCACAGCCAGCCGGTAGACCTGCTCCTTCTGAAGGTATTCGTCTCCAATCTTGACCACCTGTTCCGCTACCCTCTGCCCTGGAGGCTTTGAGGGGTCAAAGGCGAAGGATACGCCTGCGACCTGGAAATTATATTTGATAAGGAAGGTGAAGGAGGTCAGGGATCCTCATCATCATCATCATCATCATCATCATCATCAGCAGCAGCAGCATAAAAGTGCCCACTGCTGAGCAAAGGCTTCTTCTCACACGGAGAAGGTTAGAGCATTAATCACCACGCTTGCTCAATGCGGGTTGGCGATTTCAAACTTATAATTAGAAATTATAAGTGGTGTGTAAAAAATCATAGAAAGTACGTATGTATGAGGATGTTTGATCGAAACCCGGCCAATACCAATGTGACTTTTTTACTTTTTCCAAATATTATGTTCTTTTTAAGAATATTTAGACACCACTGACATGCGGGGAAGGAAAACATCGTGAGGAAACCTGGACTTATAATTTCTAATAAGTCAGTAATTGCTAATTTATGTTGAACAAGTGTGGTGATTAATGTTCAAACCTTTTCCATGGTGGAAGAGGTAAATACCTTGCAATGTTTAGGCTGATATCTTATTTAGAAGATTGAATGGTTATACAATAAGATTATATTATAATACTAGCTACTCTCACGCGTTTTCACCCGCTGCTCGGCTCTATTTGATCGTGGCGTGATGTTTTATAGCCTATATAGCACTAAGGAACATTGTAGCTATCTATCAGTGAAAGAATTTTGGCAATCCGAGTAGCTGTTCCAAAGATTACGGGTCAACATAAATAGGTACTTATTTGATTGTCATAAAAAAAGTTGGTGCAGCTAAAATATCAGTGCAATTTATTTATCCGTAGTAAAGAATAACAATGAGATTAAAACTGTTTATTGTTTTATTAACCTTATGTTAACAGTCCAGAGAATATAACAGCACTTAAAGTGACCATTAACATTCTATGTAGTTCGTTATTACGGAATAAAAATTCCATTGTTATTTTTATCTTATTAACGATATCAGACACGTTATCGTGTGGTTTACTTGACGGGTTTTTTAATCTTAAAAACTAAATGTGACGTTTGAGAACGGATAATATTTATTTTTATCATTTACTAGTTATACCCGCGCCGTTTCACTCGCTGCTCGGCTCCATTTGATTGTAGCGTAATGTTTTATAGCACTCGGAAACATTGTAGTTATCAATAAGTGAAAGCATTTTGGGAATCCGACCAGCGGTTCCAAAGACTACCCCCTCCATACAAACTTACAAATTTTCCTCTTTAAAATATAAGTATAGAGCTGTATCGCTGGAGCGATACTTTTGTATAGTCAACGAATCAATCTGAGCTTACTTTTCAGCATGTTTAGGTTCCATTTAATACTTTCTATACCGGACAGAATTTTACTTTTACTAAGTCGGCCGACAACGAATTTATTAAGAGAAAAGACTGCTAGCAAACCCTAACGACTATATTTGTTTTTTTTTTGTACAGTTATACCAATAAAATGTACTTTAAGACGCTGATAATAAAGCTTGATTTCGTTTGTAAAGTTTAGAAGCCTATCCTTCCTAACAAAAACCTCCATAGTTTATTACTTTATTATGATAATATACAAGGAGAAAAGTTCCTTAACTCACCTGAGGAAACCGTCCCTCCAAGCTAGGGTACTTGGAAACAGAGTTCTCCAAGACTTGCAGAATGACCTCCCCAGTGGCTTCCACCACCACGAGGGGATCCCGCATGGGGATTATCGTTGAGAGGTCTCGGAGAGTGAAGTCACCGGCTGCGTGTACCTGTGAAAGTATTGGAGAAATTGTCATGTTTTTAAATAAAGAGAGAAACAGAGAAGGGAGGAAGAATCCACACTCCGCATGTCAACAACCTCGTGAGCCAAGTCAAGATATTTAAACTAAGAAGTCTATAGATAAAACGCTGTAGTTTTTTTAATAAAACCGTTGCCCCACACTAGTATTTTCTCCTGCGTCGTGGGTGCCTTAAAACATACAATATCACACCCAGACCCGGAACAACAATGTGTGTGTGTAATGAGAGTTGTTCCGTGCAGGAATCGGAACCCACGACACGTTGCACGGCAGCCAGTTGCCCAGCCACCGCGCCAACCGTGCATTCATAAGTTTGTTTCGTTGTTTTAACATGCTAAACTAAATAATTATTTTTCGCTAATGGTGGCGGCATTTACAGCCTATAAATGCCTTCTTCGATAAATGGAACATCACGTTACGATCTGTAAAAGCCATGCAGCGGTTGAAACCGTGCGAGAATAACTATTTATAATTATGTTTGTTTATTCCTTTACGGGATCACGGAATCCCGGACTTTTGGAAGGCGTACGAGGGGCCGAAGCCAGCTCGCCAACCCATTAAACAGTTTTAACCTAAATGTGATGGGACATCGGCCATTTTTAAACCAAACTCAGCAGATAATCCAACGACAGACTATATCACAAAACTCGTCCAAAACCTTACCTGATCAGATCTAAAGGTGCCAGAATTGAGTAGCACGAGATCGGCCCCAGTAGCGGCGAGCAGTACATCACAGACCCAGTTCCCGAGGTTGCACTCCTGCCGCCTGATGCAGGAGAACCGACCTTCTAGAGGCACACAGATCTTGCCTAGAACCTCATCCATTTTGCCTTCGATCATTGCTGCGAGAATATTTGTAGATATTATTATTACATTCAAATTTTAATTTAATAGCTTTACTAGAGGACAGACTGACACATATTTTACTTTTAAATATTTAACAACACATATGAAGCGGGTAATCACGTGAAAAATAATTATTTAAATACATTGGTAGGCTTGACGTTTCGACCTGATTGCACAGGTCATAGTCACAAGCAGACTGAATCTGATATTAATAAGCGTTAAATAATACCTATGTTGTTAACATGAAAGTTTAAAAGTTTTTAAGTATTTATTTTTAATGTTTTTATAAGGGCGGCAAATGATCAGACGGATAACCTGATGGTAAGCAATCAGCGCCGCCCATGAACACCAGCAACACCAGAGGAGTTTTGAGTGCGTTGCCAGCCTTTAGCCATAGCGTTATAAAAATAGTATGTTCCTTGGCATAAAATCATTATGACGTCATAATAATATGTCATACAAAACTCATAGAAAAAAATAACGTTTTTGAAAGACAAAAGTATTTAATTTGACTAACTGGAAACTGTATTAAGTCAAAGAAATATAATTAATTATAATACTTAATATACTTACAAGAATATTTATCCGTCTTCTCCTTTAGCACGAGATCTTCTGCGTACGCGCATGTGACGGGCATCTCCGCGATATCAACTTGTATACCTTCCTCCGCGAAGCTGATGCTGATTTTACTGAACTGACGGAAGTCTGTGCCGCTTTTCACCACATATTTATTATTTATCTGAAAGAGTAATATTATAAAGATACTTTACTACACCGACCGTACCATTCGGATTCTATATGTGCCAACAATGCTTAGTCTATAGTAATATTATAAAGAGGTAAATTTGTAAGTTTGTATGTAGGGGGTAATCTTTGGAACCGCTGGTTGGATTTCCAAAATTCTTTCACTGATAGATAGCTACAATGTTCCTGAGTGCTATAGGTTATAAATCATCACCCTATCACCAAAAGGAGCTGAGCAGCTGGCAAAACCGTAATATTATTAAAATCATTTTAAAATTACATTTTTAAATATTACTATAAAATAAAATAACATAATATTTAAAATTATTAAAATAGGAGACAGCCGGTAGCGGGAGAAAGGCTCAAGTTACCGGTGGTTAGCGCTCTAGAGACAGAAACCTCCTCACATTACGAGCCGTTTCAAGGAGGACTGCCTTCTGTATGAGGCTTGACCTTGATCCATCCGTCTAACGTCAGCTTATTGTTATTATTATTATCTTCGGAAATCCTGTTTTTAAAAAGATACTCACATGTAAGACTTCATACACATGATCATGTCCGCCAAGAATGAGATCGATATCGTTGCATCCTTCGGCAAGTTTTATGTCATTTGGAGTCCGCATGTGTGTAAGTGCTATCACATACTCACAGCCCTAGAAAAATAGAAAAAAGATTATTCGTTTATCATAATCAATTAGTTTATTAATTAGTTCACGGATTAGGAAAGAAATCAGTGTGTGAGAGCCATGCTTCGGGACGAATGGATCGGCTCTACCGGAGTGATACCACTGCCTCACAGAAAACCAGCGTAAAACAACCACAGCGTGGTGAATGCGGTTACCGAAGGCCCAATCCTTTTCCTCCCCCAACCTTAGGGATTGGCCATCCCTAAGGTTGGAGTGTTGAATGGGGGTCCCCAAAAAGTTGGCAACGCAATCGTACCTTCTCCGTTGTTTTTTTTCGAGACGAACATCATCGAATTACTTCTCCCGCCCAGAAGAAGAGGGAGTGTCTCTTATTGACTAAAACCCAGCTCACGGTCCTTCTGATGCTCTAGGTCGGCCTAGAGCATCAGAAGCTGCGGTGCCTCATTGCGCTTACCCCGCAACCCCGGCTGAAATCAGCCCTATAGGGCTCCGTCTGTGGCAGTCTATTGGTCGCAAGAGGCGCGCGCGGAACGCTACGCGCTACGCTCCAATCTGGTTCTGGTAAGGCGGCGAGTTACCCTTACTCACCGACATTGACCGCAGACCCGCGCTAACGTTCCTCGAACTTCTCCGTTGGTGCGGATGTCTATGGGCGGCGCTGATTGCTTACCATCAGGTAATCCGTATACTCGTTTGCCGTATTATGAAATAACAAAACTCATTTTAAAAATTACAAGTGACATGCGATTGAACGAACCTCTTGTTTCAACTGCGTCGCTAGCTTCGTTCCTGCTTGTACAAAGTCTATGAATGTCACCTCCTCTGGGTTTATCGTTGCTAAAGTTTCCAACCACTCCTGAAATGTGAAAAGCAAATGATTTTAGAACATATACCATTAATATTAAAATACACATTTGAAACAAACAGATTAAAAAATGCTTATCAGATTTAAAAAAAATATGTTTATTGAAAATAACGGGCGAATTAAGTGAGAAAATCTCTATAGTTCCAAGCGCATACTACTAAGAATAGGAGTCCCGTTGTGACTTGAAACTAGTAGAGCTTTTCTCAGTTAATCAAGTAGGTATTTATTAACAGAAATAAGTATTATTGATTAATTTTTTGTGGCAGTATTTTTCATATTTTAATAATTGTTATCAAAAAATAGGTCCATAGAAAATGTCACAATCGATGTCCAATTAAGAGAAGGCGGACTGCACAGTTGACTCTTTGTGTGATCCAGAAATTGTTGTTCAGGGTCTGGATGTGATGTGTATGTGAAATTATATGTGTGTAAACGCACCTACGACAAAGGAGAAAATCTTAGTCTAGGCCAAAGTATAAAAGAAAGTAAAGAATTTAATAAATAATGGCAATTTGTTTAGTTTTTATCCTAGATATCCTTTATCTTTCCTTTATCTATCTACCACTGGCAGAAATATAGTCGAATTTTGTAATATTCTGTTAAATATTACCTGTTCAACCAATCCAATGAAACCAATTTTATGACCATTGCACATGAGTGCGTGTGTGATCTTGCCATCGCCGAGTGGCCGGCCCGTCTCGTTGTCAATCACATTGGACATGAGCCAGGGGAAATTGCACTGCGCAACCAATCCTGACAGGACTTCTAGTCCAAAATCTGTAACAAGAATTATTAGAATAATCCGTATGTATCAATATTGGTTAAGGGCAGGGGCCATAGTATTTCCATAGTTATCATATCAATTATTATCACATTTCGCAATAGTCCTGCATCAACCGGGACTTATCCTTGGGTGCACTTTCATAGTGCATACAGGGATAATTGCCGGCTGATGTCCCATTTAACTTATATTAAAGTTTTTCAACGGGCCTCTGCGAGTTGGCTTCGGCCCCTCGTACGCCTTCCAAAGGTCCGGGATCCTGTGGTCCCGTGAAAAGAAACGGACACACAGAATAATAAACAAAATTGTATACCTAGTTATTCAAAGGTTGCTATAAAAATAAAATCGTATAGATGTCCACAAATACAGAGTAGTTAGGTACTTTAAAAATAAAATCTTATAGACATCCACAAATATAGGTTCATTTAAAATGTATTGGGCCTCCGGCAAACCTCACTCTCAGGGGGAAGGGAAACAAAACGTTGTGGTTGTGTCACGCCGGTTTTCTGTGAGGCCGTGACATCACTCGGTCAAGCCGTCACATCCTTAAAATTGTGCTATGGCACTATTTATAATATTATTTAATTAGTAACACGTATTAGGAGTTGAGCCTATAACAATACTTTGGCAAGACTCCAAGATTTGTGTTCCTTCTATCGATAATTGACAACTAGGAAGATGTTGTCGACACTTTTGGCATTTGGTTGCTAAGCCTAAGAATGTACAGTCAGCGTCAAATGTATAGGGACATTCAGAGTACTCAATTATATAGACGAAGACAAACCACTAAAATATCGGTACAACAAAGTCACCATATAGATAGCTTTTACATGAACCTATGTTCATGTAAAACTTTAGAAATATCGGTACAGTTCAACTGTCGTGGTACTGTAAGTGTTCAAAAATATGGAACAGATTAGGAAATTAAACTTTAAGACCATTGATTTTAAGTATAATGTCACTCATCTATTGTTACTAAAGTGTTCGGACAGTATTGCTGTCCTTTTCATTTTGAGCATGACGTCATTGGCATGTGTTTTGTTTTATATAATATTTATAATTGAAGCTTGAGCGCAATTGAACAGCAAATGATAGGAAATACGAACTTTGAACTGTTGGGTATTGTCATTTAAGTCATCAACACATCGCATCGCCTGGTCGGAGAATGCTCCTTATTCAGATCTAGGGAACTTTACTGAGTATTTCCTATATACCTACCGCATTTGTATCTATTTCAATAACTATTAACACTAATACTAATCAACGTACATATTGACTGCACGGTTGGCGCGGTGTCCAAGCAACTGTCTGCCGCACATCGTGTCGTGGGTACAATTCTCGCACGGATTAACTCTTCGTGTGATCCAGAAATTGTTGTTTCGGGTCTGGGTGTGATGTGTACATGCCAAATTCTAAGCTTGTAAACACATCCACACATAAAAAAAGTGTCGTGGTGGCCCGGAGGTTAAGGAGCCCGCTTCTCATGCATGAGGGTGTGGGTTCGAAACCTGGCAAGTATCAATGTGACTTTTTCCGAGTTATATGTACTTTCTATGATTATTTAGACACCACTGACATACGGTGAAGGTAAACATCGTGAGGAAACCTGGACTTATAATTTCTAATTATAAGTTTGAAATCGCCAACCCGCATTGAGCAAGCGTGGTGATTAATTTTTCTTTTTTCTTTTTTTTTTAAAGAAACGTTGCCCCACTGTAGGATTTTCTCCTGTGTTGTGGGTGCGTTTACAAAAATACAATGCCACATACCTACACATGCCACCCAGACCCGAAACAACAGTTTGTGGATCACACAAAGTGTTGTTCCGTGCGGGAATCGAACCCGCGACACGTTGCACGGCAGCCAGTTGCCCAGCCACCGCACCAACCGTGCAGACCGTGCAGATTAATGCTCAAACCTTCTCCGTGTGAGAAGAGGCCTTTGCTCAGCAGTGGGCACTTATAGGCTGGTGATGAAACAAACCCACGGCACAGGAGCGAGACAACGATAAAAAATACTAACTAAGAAATACTTTCACTCACCAAAATCGTGGTTTCCAAACACGGCACAATGCGTTCCGATTTCATTCAGCACCGGTACCATTTGTTCGCCTTTTGTAAATGTGCTCACTGGAATAAGAAAGTAAATAATTAGTTAACTCTATTAAGAGAGAGAGAGAGAGAGAGATAGATTGAGAGAACGGTGCAGATAAAGTAAGGTATAAAAGGTAAACGCGATAATATAACGCGGCCCAGGGGATAACCATGACATTAAAAGTAAGACTGTTTTAATCTTACTTCAGTGTGGGGAAGGAAGAGACAGAGCTAGATAACTTGTATAGCTCTCTCTCTCTCTCTCTCTCTCTCTCTCTCTTACCCACAATAAGGGTGTAAGCGCAAGAATAGAAGTGTGACACTCCCTCTCGTCTCATGGCGAGGGCGAGAGAAGTAATTTGATGAATAGAAAGCAGATTTTAAAAAGGTTTACTAAGATAAATTACAGCCGAAAATAACCGGATCTATCGAGTGTGATAGAAATTGAATAGTGCAACTAATATCAAATATCAAAACAAAGATTTCAAAGAAGATGGTTTGGGTTCGAGCAATAGTTTTCAAGAAAATCGTTCACAATTAATAGTTAGAGTAATCATTAAGTTCTTGTTATAACTTTCGTGAGACATTCTAAATTAATTATTATGTTTTCGGCTTATTCACGTAATAATTTGACGAGATACTCGACTAGTTTCAAGCCATGCTAGAGGCCCATATTCATGAGCAGCATTCCGCAACACGCACGCAATGCGGCGACTGTCGCGCGACTGAATATGGGCAGCAGCGTGACAGTCGCCGCGTTGCGTGGCGTGAAACTTGTCGAGTATCTCGTCAAATTATTACGTGAGTAAGCCGAAAACATAATAATTAATTTAGAATGTCTCACGAAAGTTCACAACGAAAGCGCAAAGGAATTAAGTTAATTCTATATAGGTATAGGTACATATAACTTACACATGCTAGGTGAGAAGACATCTCCACTGAACAGAACCAAGGGGTTCAGATGTTGGAGAGCTTTGACAGCTGTACTGAACCTTAAGGCACCTCCCACTGGTTCCGTATCTGAAATAGTTTATTAAAATTACATAACACCAACAACAAAACACAAATGAGCATGTATAGTAATGCTTTGATTCTGAGGGATCAATGGAAAGAATCAAGAGTTCTTGAGTATAAGTCATATATAAAAAAATCATATAATAAATTTTTAATATACTTATAAAAAAATTATAATAAGTCATATAAAAAAATGGTTTGGTTTTTCGTAAATTGGGTCCAGAAATTGTGCCGGATATATTTAATTGGTGAAATGTGGAAGTAAATTATATCAATCTCCAACTCCCCCCACCCCAATCCTCTTTAGAGAATATCCAAAGTCTAAACCCCAAAAGGCCGGCAGAGCACTCGTAACTCCCTTTTTGTCTTGTTGTTTTTTATCGTTAAATAATGCTTCATACATACTTCCATTGATCCGCCGATACTTATAATTTTATACTTACCTCAGCTATTTTTATGAAATAGGTTTGCTATTTGACGTCACCCATTTGTTTTTCTGAGGACTTTTTCTGACATTGTAATTGCATACTTATTTCTTAAAAAGTTGGTAGGTAAGTCACTATTTTTTTTGCCATTTAGATAAATTACAAAACAATGCCTTATAGGAAACCACCCTATTGATACAGAAACTTTGACTGTATTACATTCGTTTTTACATATTGTCGTAACAGAATACAAGATACATTTGCAAAATATTGCTCTGTTTGAAGGTTAAGCTTAACAGTGATGTAGTACTGGGATTAAAATTGTGATGGCTTCACAGCGTTTGAGTGATTGAAAACTGGAGTCGCGGTTATGATATCTACGCACGACTCTGATCTTTGTAGCAGTTAATTGTTCTTTATGAATATTTAAACGAATTCTGCTTATTGCGAATGGTATTCAATTTAAACAATGTTGCTTATTGAATTTATTGTAAAAGAAGAAAACTGTATCCTGATAAAAAAAAACACGAAGGGTTGGCGTTTTCGAAGAAAGCACAATTGACAAAAAAGTTTTTTTAATAAAAAATTATGGATAGCAAGCCTTTATTTCTGGACAGTGACACAGGACCTCTATGAGAAGTAAAAAGCAAACAGGTTTTGAGCAGTTGTAATAGGAAGTGAACTTATTACTATACCTACGTCTAGCGAAATTTCAGACTTTGTTTTTACTAAGTATTGAAGAATTATCTATTATGTTTTCGGCTTACTCACTTTGACGAGATACTCGACTAGTTTCAAGCCATGCTAGAGGCCCACATTCATGAGCAGCATTCCGCGACACGCGACTCGGCGACTGTCGCGCTGTGTACGTGAGTAAGCCGAAAACATAATGTCTCACGAAAGTTATAAAAAAAGTATTGAAGAAGTTCAAATTATTCAAGTGCACCTAGGGATCCAATTTATTAAATTAAGAACACTAAAAAACTGAAATACCCGTTATACTTACTCGTAGTCTGTTCGATGTTATAAACATCGTTAAAGTGTATGATGACGACTTCGTCTCCCATTCCTCGACCAGCCAACTGGCTGACAGCACGCCTGCCCACTTGACGAACTTCCAGGGACGCCTAGACCCAGTAGAAGAATGTAAGAACACAGAAGAAAATTTTGTATAGAATACAGGAGCATAAAGATGTGGATTAAGCTTAAAATGGAGTCGAGCAAAATGTTTGATCATTATATAATACACTTATTGTCCTTGACTGACTGATTTTGAATGACTTTGATAAGTCCGTTTTTAAGATTTAGGGAGATTCATAGAAAGACATAAGCTGGCAATGTTGTTGTATACTTAATTTAAACTGCATTATTTGTTATGGAACTTTAATAAGCTTCTTTTACTTTATATTATTCGCTGAGGAGTATCTCAATGGTATTTTGTTTCGGTATCACATTTATGACTTTTAAGGATGGATAATAGGTATTAGACAACTTAGTATATTAAGATTTTGTCTCCAATTACCAAAAATTGAGGTCTATTAGGGATACAGCCTGTCGATAATTATCGGCAGGCTGTATTGACGAATTATAATTCGTCAATAAACTGTCTATCATAACAAGGCTAGATAATATGTTGCTCTTCAAAAATATTTGTGACCATTTTCCAATATGCTGATATCAATTTCCATTTCTTGTTGTCGAAAATGGCTTTAATTTGAAATTATGATAAGATCGCATTCACAATAATTTCTTTCCTTTTGCAAAAATGATCACCTCTTCTAAATATGGACCTCAGTATATCCGCGATTCCCACGATACTTTAAGCCAGTGGGGAGTTCGGGAAGTACCATAATAGCGGCTAGGGTGCAAGGAGAAGGTCAGATCAATACCAGACCGGTCGCTAGTGTCGGGTTTAATTTATTGAGAGTTCAAGTTTAATTTTAGTTGTACCTACAACGACGACGTCTACCGCTTTTCTGGATTTTGCAGAATCTTCGTCTCGAATTCGGAATTTTCGCCACTAAGTTTGAAAACAAAAGTTAGGCATATTGAAGGAGATGTTTTGTTTTGATTGGAAATTTGGATGTTCTTCATTTAATTATAGAGGTTTGTTTCTTGGTTTTATGAAATTGACAAAATTGTGCCAAGCTCTTTCTTTAGTCATATTTGCACTATGCCGATTTTATTCATTAAAGGGCCTTCTGTGTTTGTTTTGAAGACTTATCAAGTTTGCCAATAGTGTCATCGATTTGACTACTTATTTAAAGTTTGGAGGTAATCTAGGACCCAGTAATTTCTTAAGTGTCCTCTTGACATTTTATTTGCGAAGTGTTGCAATTTTTGTCATTTTGGTTAACAGTTTTTTTTTGCAACCACTTTCACTTTCAACACAGCAACAAACCTTTCCAAAGCACTAATGGAAATATGGAAATCAGCTTAGATTTTTTCTTGGAGAACTTTTTTAGCTTCTTTTTTAGTTTTTAAATGCCGACAGTCAGTTTTTTGCTCACTTTAGACATTTATAGTAGAAAAAAATAATAGTTGCTTAGTTTTTATCCAGCTGGTTGATACATACAAACGACTAATTATTTAATTTATCAACAGCTATACGAAGTACAGTACAGGCTTTGGTTGATCTTATCAGAACTGTAAAAATCTTGATTTCTTTAAAGGTTTTGCGTGCTTTTACCTCATAATTATAATTAACTGGCTCTTGCTAGACTCGGAAATAAGATAAAGAAAGTCAGTACTTATTATGATTGTATCTTTTATCGTCACACTGCATAGTAGAAGTGTGATTAGATTGATGAAAGGGTAGCTATGGCTATTGTGGTGTGTCGAAATAACAACAGGGGCAAATATCTCCAATCCTTCAAAGGCAATAACAAAAACATCGAGTATTTCAGACAATAAGAGGAACATTTAGGGTTCATATAATTTTTATCAGCATCTCAATTATCAGGGGCTATAAATCACACATATTTGGCCAGATGTTTATTCACAGGACATAATTTACGATTCGTTCCATTTTCGTACTTCATTTAAAATTGAGAATTTCGCATGGAAAAACCCAACAATAATTTTCTTGATTTAGGAATCGCATTCAAAACTTGTTGTAATATTCACATCTATATTACTCTGAAAACTATTACACTGATATATACAGGGTGCCCATAATTTAGGTACTACCTATGATACTTTCCTTTTCGTTGTTTTTTCTGATTGGCCAAAGGATATACTAAAAGGCATTTCAAGGTTATCCATTCTTTACCGGATACCCTGTATATTAAACTTATCAGTAATTTAACTTAACGTAAATCATGCAAGACAACATTTAGACAGGAGTTTCATGCGGTGCTTCTACTGAAAAATGTAATATTAAAAAATGTATGTTGATTTAGTTTCCTGAAAACCTGTAGTAGGGCAAGTTTTTACTCTAATATAATACTGGACATCTGAACTGCATGCTATTTTATTTTTGTTACCTATGCGAAGTCGAATAAGACCCTGTCTGCACATCGAAATAAAATTCGGGCGTTTTCATTTTGCAATTTTAGAACGCGTTGAACTTCGTCAATAAAAATTCTGTTATTTCAAATGACGAAACGCGGCAACATTTATTTGTGCGGAGAGGCACTTAATCAAAAAAATTGGCCCCATAGAAAGACATAATGTAGTTTTTGCAATCCTAAGTTATAAAAGGCGATTGTCATCATGTTCACTTAGGTATACGCATACTTTTTTTATGGTAATGATTTGGTTCTCTCATTATTGTTCATTTGGACAATTCTGGCTCCGTATAGCTCTTAAGCACTGACTGTGATCCCCCATGATAAGCTATTAGCACCGCCTATGGACATATCTACTCGTGACACCATAGGACACAAGTTACCGGTCTTTTTAATGGTTTGGGATTTGAGGATTGGTGGTTAAGGGATGGAAGAGAAGTTTAGGCCTCCGGAAACCTACCTCGCACGATGAAACACAAGCAAAAGTTATTTCACGCTTGTTTTTCACTCTATCGACAATCAATCAATATAGGTACCATTCTCAATGATTTAAATTGGAGACCAGTTTCTTCAATATGGCTTTTGAACAAATATTTCAACGGTGGTCTAAATTACTCCAGATAAATTAAAGTCCATTAAGCAGAACACACATACCGACATTGCCATAAAAGTCAGGCAATGCAATTAACGCTTTTCATAAATTCTGCGATCATCTAACATGGCGAATAGGCCTTGAGTTGCAATTAAACTTGCGATTACTAAAATGAACAGTTAAAAGCGTTAACTATCCTGCCTTTATGTTATATGTCTCTGGAGGATAGATTAACACTGTTCTAAATATTTCTCATAACACGTAGGTTTATTTTTGTGATGGGGGAAAATCGTAAAAGACTTCTCGCCCGGCGGCGGTGAGGTGAGAGAGAGTGTCAGACTCTTACTGACTAAAAACTACCTCGCTCGTTGTCCTGTTCCAGGCCGAGGCAGCGGTACCTTCTTGCGCTTGCCCCGCAACTCCGGCTAAACATCGCTCTTATTGGTGGTCCTATTGTGAGGCGCACGCGGAACGCTACGCGCCCTACGCTCGGGCCTAATTCTGGTTAGGTCCGTCCGCAGACCTGCGCTTACGGTTGCCGGAGACCGTTGCTCGATCCCCAAAATTAAGGAGTGATGCCAAATAGGTTTAGGTTTTTTTGGAATAAATTTGTGAACTGTTTTTCTAATGACGGGATACCTAGGTGGAAGGATCGTGAGACTACACGGTCCAGAGCAGTGGTTGTACAGCTTACTGGTATGCATAAACTCTACAAATTCAGCGTTACAGACGTATTTAATTCTGCACTTCTTAATAGTTACTGTCAGAAGGAGTAAGAAAAGAGAATGGTATTAAGGATTAGGGATTAATGGAGAGGGTTTTTGGGAGTACCAAATTGTTAGTTTTGTTATAACATTATATAGAGTATGGTGTATACGACTTTAATATTAATAAAATTCAATGCCAATCAGTTACAATGCACAAAAGGGAAAATTTAACGCTTAAGGTACATTACATTATTGTCTCTAACTTTAATTTCTCGTCGAGTTATAAATAATACAGTATGAGTAAATAAAATTAAACAGTATTTAAACCTAAACAAGACAGGTAATACAGAACAGGACCGTTCCCGACCATCCATAAGAATCTTTAACTGAAAAACACTATAAGAACCAATGATGTAGCAAACAAAATTATTCCTAAAAGCTATGTAAAAAAAGCATATTACTGCAAACAATGAAATAACGACCATCAAAGTGCGGAATGCAATTACTACGATAGAAATGTAAGATGAACTACAAGTACATCTGCGCGTGACCAGAGTATTTAAAAAGCAGTGACAAAGATTATTGAAAAGCTTAAATAATTGAAGGCGTGGCTGCGTTTGTCTGTCTCTTAAGAAGTAATATTATTAATCACTCAGAAAAATCCATTGCTAGAGCCCCATACTTATGTACATAAGGTTTTTTCTTCAAATAGGTATCTACTGCATTGTGCTAATTTGAAGTCCTGTCTTAAAATGTCTGAATGGCTAGTTCGTATCATATAAATTTGGATTTAGAACATAATTCTCATGAACTATGTGCCACATAAGTTTATTCGGAACTTACACGATTGAAGAAACAAACGCTTTATCTATTTGATGTCCAACATATTCGTGACTTCACCAGAACAGAAAATAGCCGCGAAAGACAGAAAGCGATATTTATTATAATAGAAAATACTATTTATAAATGCACATTTCTGGTTAAAAATAAACCACCTACATGATAGAGAAATGTTTTTCATAAGAATAAATATGTTTTGAATGAATGAAACATAGTGCAACTGGTATCAAATTCTAAAAAGACAGGTCATTGTGCTTGGTGTGGTTCGTCATTGATTGTATCATTAAAATGACAAATGAGAACTTCATAACTATAAATGGCATTAGACACTTTAGAACTTTTTTTTGAGGGGACATTATGAAATGTCTTCTCTCCCTTTGAGTGGGGATAGAGAGAGTGTCAGACTCTTACTGACTACAAACCTTCCCGTTTCTTCTACACCAGGCTGAGGCTTCGGTACATTAACTCTTTTTATGGGA